TCCCTACACTTTTAATGTAAAATCTTCTCCCAAAGCCTTCAGCTGCTCATTGTCCATTTCCAAAACCTTTCTAATTTTCTATTGCTCTCTGCTTGGGGGAAACCAGAGCTGAAATAATAATTATTTTAATGAAAGCAAGAGCAGCTCTAGGGCTGGCTCAGCATGGGTTTCATTTCCTTTATATGAACCTGGAGTTTAACATCCACACCTACCTATGACACAAGAGCATGTCATCTGAGGTGTAATGAACAAAGCAAACAAGTTTTTACAGTTTCTCTGTAGATGAATCTCTTGAGAGTCCTGAAAAGTCAGGGCTAATGTCAGGTCAGATTATGGGATCTAGAGTAGTTTGAAAACTTGGTTGTTTAGGCAGCCACCAGCCATCCTTTTTTTTGCATGTCAGTGTGGATCCCACTACAGGGTAATGATGAGCAAGTTTCTTTTTCAAAAGAAGCAATAAAGATCTCTAGGCTATATCAGTCTGCAGTATGGCTCCCCTGAACATGCCATCTGCCCCAACCATGATGTCAAGCAAAGGATGCTGCTTGACACCTTCATGTGCCCAACACACTATATGCCTTGTGACCTCACATACTGGCATACAACTGAAGCAGATGATGGAAGTTGTTCAGGCCATTTTATGAGTCGCTTTCCATGTTCAATGGGAGACGCTTGCAAGCAGGTTTTAATAACCCACAGTTATTAAAATACAAGATACAATATCCATTTTGATACCCCCTGAGGAGACATCTTGACCTTTAGATGATCCAGTTATGACAACATGATTGGAACAAAAATTGCAGTTGTGCAACTCAAGTCTGTCAGGCTTGAAGCACAAGGCTACTCTGAGCTGCTCCATTATTAGAGTCCTAGGCAGGGACAGGTTATGAACAGTAAATATGGGTTGTGAGTAATATCTCCCCAACTAAACTGTAATATCGGTATTCTGCAGCTACAACAATACAGGTTGACCATAAGGGTGGAACAATTTTATCTAATGACTCTTACATTTGCCCCAGAGCACTCTGTACATCTGTGGAGCATCAGCTATCCATTTTCACTGATTGTCAGATAGCCTTGGGTGCTGGAACTGAGACTACACTAGTCTGCTAGGTCCTACAAACAAAGTGTGAAAGAAGCAACCTGAATGAGAGTGACTTCATCCTTCCCCATCCTGGAGATGGCTTTGGGAATATACTAAGAAAGGGAAAGAAACATACAGAAGGGCATAAAAGCAGATCTCTGTTTCTCTAGAATAAGATGACATCCAGGAACAACCAAGATCTATGTGCCTTGACAGGGGCTTGTTTGCTAGCAAAACCAGCATGAGACATCGGGAGATCACCAACACTGGAACAGTGATGCAGTGCTGGATCTGCCTGGAAACCATTTTTGGGAAGCCACCTGCCCACAAAATCAAATGGCTTGTTGTTGATTCCTGAAGAGGAAAGGGCTACTTCCCCACTCTAACAGCACTGTTAGAAGAACAAGACTTCCCAATCTGAGGACCAGGTGTCCCACATTCATGTAATGTATAGCATTGGCACTGCCTACAAAGAACATCATCAACAAATTCCAGAGGGCAAAGAGGAATAGGTCAGTCTGATAATTTCCCAGTACCTAGAGTATCTACTCTATTGCTCAGAGGGCACATGATCTAAACCAAACCTTTCACACCCCTTGTGTCTAGTACTTCTGTGTTATTTAGGACTGGAGTAAAGTGGGTCCCCCAAATTGCATGCAGTTCAACTACAAAGCAAGGACACCCAAATCACTTGCATAAAGTCAGCTCAAACTGACTTAATTTTTAAAGAGAACAAAGAAAAACTTCAGGAAAAGACACCTTGGAACTTGCCTTGTGAGCCAGTGCTGCAACCAGTTTGATTTTAATACATTTTAATGGGCTTGCAGGGGTCAGAATCTGTCCTTGGGCTGGCCCCTCTTCCCTGCAGCTTGTCACCAATTCTGTCAGCCCAGGGGTTTAGAAGTGCAAGAAACTTTTGCAGCTTACTAAGTCAAGATAAATAAATGGAGACAGTGCATTTCAGCCCCACTGCTGTCACCTGTCTTTGTCTCTAAGTAACTGGTTAGCCAGGAGGAAGAGACTGTGCACTCCTGGACATGCTCAGTCCTGCAGAGCCCGACTGGCAACACCTCATGCTTGACACCAGTCGAGCCTTGATTCCAACTGAATTCTGAACAGCAACTGTCAGCCAAGTGGACAAGTGCGAGGGTCTGCCACATCCTCCACCTGAAAGCCATGAGTGAGCCCTGAACCAGAG